CTAATCGTAGTAATTTACAATTTACATGTCTTTATGTTCTTGTACACAGCAGTATCAAATGTACAAATCAGATAGAACGAATATCGGCCGATGGTGCGGAAAAGTGCGGTATTAGTTCAATAGTGCGATTCCGTATCCACCGCACTTATATATGTTTCACCCAGGACACATGATTTCAATTGGCCATAATACAATGTAATAGGCCAGGGTCAATCGGAATGTTGCCTTTTACGTTTTAATCGATTAGCTGAAAGTTAAAAGTGGCCTACAAAATGGTAGGATAAGACGGGGATGTGAGATGGACACAATTAGGGTGCTCAAGTGTTTGACCTCTCTGGGATTATTCAAGAATATTCTGAATAATATGTTGAAATACTGGCATAAAGTTCTAAAGACTGAGGAATTTGCCGATTAAGGGTGCTGATAAGGAATGTTGTGTTGTGTTATATTTGTGTAGTGCCCAGTAATGTGTAATACTATAACAGCTAAACAGATGGTGTGTAGTGTGTACAGTACCGCAGGAAGTGCTGCACCTTGCTCTGTGCTGGGTATTTTACTGTAAACTTGTGTTATACTGAACGTGTGTAGAACTTGCACGTGTATATTAAAATGCGCGTTGTAAGATTTCTTAGAGTTCTTAGCATATCCCAGTTTGTTCTAAATCAGTAGATCGTGAGCAAAACAAATTGGTATGTTAGGGTGTTCAAACTAATAACAATGTTATAGGTTGGATTTATGATGAACATACCCAGATTTACAGTACACATGATTTACAAACCAGTGCGGTAATCAAATATAAACTTACAAACAGTTGTATCAGGGTACCGGGTACCATGCATGTCAGAGGTATTACTTCAATCTGTTAACATCCTCTCATTACTATAGTGCACAATATCGTGTAGTGCTCCTCTTCCGCTTCATTGCACACAATATATATGCGCATAGTGTTCACTATAGCGCACGTAATGCGTTCCATAAACCACCACTTCCTACTGGGCACCTCAATACTTCAATAACATGCGACTACAGCTGCAGTGAGTACCACATGTATTTGTAAAACAGGTGAATATTGTGTGTTTTATACACTGCATCCTGCACAGTTCTCCCTTTTTGTTAGTTTAAATTCTCCAGTTTCCGCTTTACCTTCACTCAGACATATTACTACCCCACATTAACACGTCGTGACCTTTACCGTGCACTGCAGCTGAATAACATAATCAGGCACAATATCACTTTTACCCCATAACCTGTCTCGCATTATCAATTAACAGCTTTTGTAGTGGCAATATAATATGTTAAACTGGTATTGGAAAGGTTTTCAAGAGTAATAGGGTGGTTTAAGATTCCGTAAATTCGGTTATATGTGTCTCAAATCATTGGTGAGCTCGTATTATTTTCTGTCGGTAAATAAATTATTTAACGGTTTAAATATTTGTAAATTGCTGTCTACTCCACATAACTTTGTACTGGAGTTCAGATATTGGAGTAGAGAAATTAAACCACCATTAGTAATATTACGGATATTATTAACTTGATCATAAGTAGGGTGAAACATGAAACCCACTAATGTTGAGTGATATTACGATAATCTTTTATCTTACTCTTTACATGGTGTTCGGTTTAAAAATATTTTACATCGCTGCTAAGGCTCTAAGGCCAAGCAAAAAAGGAACCCTGCAGAAACTGGAAAGAATTTTCCATTATAATTGTACAGATCATATAAAATGATCATATATAGATATATTCTATAATAACTCTAATACGAATTATAAAACAAGGCTTAATACTCCGCATTAAAATAGTCAAACCAATTTAAGCACAATCCGTACCTAAACTGTCAGGATATTAAATGTTCCGGTTCTTATTTTGTCCGGGTAAAGCTGGCCCGGAATTGAGTGAACTATCACACTATGCTCACATGCTAGCAGTACTTACTTGTCTCCAAACTGGACACGTTCAGTATTATTCAATAAATTAAATACATTACGATATTCAGCTAATTGTGAAGTTGTAAAGTATAATTATTCTGCCTTTATGTTATGCTTTACAACTTGCACATAATACATATATATAATACAGGGCGTTTTTAGACTCATGTTCTAATTTTTAGCGTCGATGAGAATTCGACAAAGGAGACAAACTTATTATGATCTATTTTAAGATACAAATCAAATTTTACACAAATATTTCAGTAATTGTTCAAACCAATACCTCTTCCTAAAAGAACAAGTTTTTATACAGGCTTACAGGGGGACGGGGCCGGGGAGGGGGGGGGTTATGCTTGTAGGTGATGCTTTAGTTTAGGTTACTTTACTCTCCTCTAACTGAGTAACACTGGAGGAAGTAGCCAGAATGTATCAGCCCTTGTTGTTTAATGTTACAGTTAGTACATAGTAAACTATAATATATTATGTCAACTATCTAATCCTACATTGAACAAAACATCCGGGTTAAAACTTACAGCTTCTTATTTAGACTTTTAGAGGGTTTTAGAGAGGCTGACATAAATCAAAATCCGGGAATTACCCCCTATCTCCCTATTGATATGATACAATTTTTAAATTATCACTATTTGTGTAAAATCTGTAGTTACATTAAAAAGTATTAATAGTATTGTAATGAGTATTGCTCTGTAATCCAAACAATGTAAACTCAGTAACTGTAACAAGTATTTGTAGGTACCATGTCAGGCCCACCACCGCCGCCTCCACCCACAACCTCAGAATCCCACTCAGCAGTCCTAAAACTGCTGGCCACAACAGACCGCCCTGCCACCTTCAGACTCCCCCCTCCTTCCTCTCTGCTCACCAGACTACAAGCCTTCCTCCCTGAGATAGAGGCTGCTAACAAGACACTAGAGGGAGTACCCCAGAATGAGAGAGATATTGAGTGTGTGGAGGAGGGCATGAGACATATTGAGATGAATGTGCAGGTAGTGCAGGAGAACGAGGGAGATCTTGTGTTGGATAGTGAAAGTGAAAGTGAAAGTGATGATGATGATGATGAGATTGTTATTGTGGACTCAGATAAAGTAAGGACTGACGGGTTTATTGTTGATATGGACGTAGATAGGTAATGTGGTTTATTTGCTTATTGTAATTATTTATTAGTTTACTCTAGTCTTTTAAGTTTACGTTTGGGAAATTTCATTGGGCCGTGCAGGGTGAAATCTAGTGACACACATTATAATATAAATAGTAGTCATTATTTTCTGAATGAATGAACAGAGGACTTTCTGATGGTCAGTTATTTTAATCTAATGGTGGTAATCTTAGTGACTTCCAGTAGATGTTGAAAGACATTGTTAGACCTTATTGGGCTAATTATGAAGTGTAAAACTGTAAGCAGTTTATTAACCGATTTAACTTATTAACTTTATTGAAAGCAGACTTTTTATAATTATTCATAAATTGAATATAATTGAAATTTTAAAACTTTTTACCCTAACTTCTGTCTCTCTCATTCGTTTCTTGTCATCATTTGATTTGGTTTTAAATACTGAAAAGTTATAATGCAAACAATAACTGAATTATGGAAACACGGTGCGACCAGCGACATATTACAATAATTTAATATTGCAATGATTGAATACAAAATTTATATGATATGCTATGTGCTTTTTTTTAGTTAACTAATAAAATTTATTCAATATTTAATATTGAATGTCATAGCTATTGTGCTATGTACAATATTTAAAGGTAATTTTAATTCAGCAGTTTTCATCAAAGTTTTTGGTTTCTCAAGAAATTTCAAACTTCTGAAGAACTAGTGTTTGAAGAGTAAAACTAAATTGTTCATAAAGTGTAGGAAGTCGAGAAGATTCCATATCCTAAAATACAGTAATCATGGTAATGTTACAACATATCGTGATATCAGGAGTTTACGTCAGCCTGAAATATGAAGCTTAGTAGCTATGGTCTTTCTCAAAATCTCACCTGATCCTCAGATGGAAGGAACTAAATAATAACTCCATGATTAAATTGTTAAACAGAATTAATAGAACACCGTCAATTTTAAACCATATTAGGATACACAATCTTCAAGATTTAACAAGGATCTCGTGATGTACACCTGTAAACTGTGTAGAAGTGAGGTATTATTTAAGAAGTTATATCCAGAATCCAGATGTTAGGTAATCACACCGCTCAGCCCCTGATTCCAATACGTTATGTCTGATTATAGTGTTGTGAGTTTGCTCAGCTCCAAAATAATGAAGAGTGGAACAAACACTCTGTGACCTGATTTACCATGAACAGTCCCTGGCGTTCTAGGAGTTCTAGACAAATGGTGTGTAACAAATGAGATAGAATATTCTGGAATCCCTCAAGTTGGTATAATCTAGAACGCGCACTGGAAACAAAGGACATCTTGTACATAAATCATTACTGCACATATTATTCAATTCATACGTATAATTGCAGCTCTCACCTGACTTCCAGAAACATATAACCTCTAGATTGATCTTCATCTTTCCCATGGAAGATAATATTATACAGTACATTCTAGATAGAGAAGATTAGAGGGTGTGATGTAATGAGGCAGGTGCTATATAAGCGAGCTGAATAGCAGTGTTTTACTACTGTGGTCACTAGCTCTTCTTACTTCTCCTGATGGACTTTAGTTTACTTTCAAAGTACGAGCTACATTATAACTATTCAGGTTTATAAACATATTATGAATATGTTGTCGTCATCGATGTTGTTATAGTATAAATCTTTAGTTAAAGTCCATTCTTACTAGGTTTTATTGCATTTGTCCCTTTCAGACTAATAATTTTGTCTGGTTTACTAACACAATGGTTAATATTGAAATTATTCAATCATAAATGTTGATAAATCGAATTTCTCCATGTTGGCACCGGCTCCTCCTTGAAACTTTTAAATATTACCCACGTCGCTTTACAGTTAGCCACTCATATCACAACTCGAAATCATGGCACATTCTTATAGTTGTTATTTTCAATGATTTAACATAACAACACGGTGTAGTGAAACTAGATCATGTATAAAAGAATCCTGCTACTTGGTGACTCTCAGACGCAGCGTGGTGCTGTACCACACGGCTGGGTGAACCTGCTTGCTAACCAGTACTGCAGACAACTAGACATTACTAACAGAGGGTTATCAGGGTATAATACCCGCTGGACTGTCGAGAGGTTGAGGGATATTGTACCTGCAGTGCCCGCTTATCATTACGATCTGGCGGTTGTCTGGTTCGGATGTAATGACGCGGTGGTAAAGGGGGTTACTGCTCAACATGTCCCACAGCAGGAATATTCCAGAAACTTGACCCAGATAGTGTGGAAGCTGGTGGAATGTGTTGGTATTCAGCCTAACAATCTGCTGGTGCTAACCCCACCCTGTGTCGACGAGGTGATGCTGAAGGAAGCGTTTCCAGACTCTCGCACCAACGAGATAATGCGAGAATACGCGGACCTCGCACTCATTGTCGCACGAGATAGGGGTTGTGAGAGTGCGGACCTGTTCTCTTTGTTCTCTAAACATGCTCCCGAAGGATTGTTTACTGATGGTCTACATTTGAGCAAGAGAGGACATGAACTGGTAGCTGAGGTTGTGACCAGGTTTTTATCTCATAGAGTTGCAGAAACTCTCCCTATACCTGATTGGAAGGATTGTAATGAATCTTGAGTTGGGTTGTTTGTTTTAAATACAGTATTCTCATGACTTGTTTAAAACTTATAGATGACGATTTCTACTGGGGCGGTAAAACAATTGAACCCAAAAATTCTTTCAAAGAGAATGCTGTCAAATGCTTATCAGTCATCAGGGGAGTTATAAGACTGTTAAGTCTGAAGTGTGTATTTCAAAAGTTTGAAACATACTTACCGAAGCTTTGTGATACCTCCACATAGTAAACGTTGAATCTTTTGCTCTATCGATAACTTTAAATGACGACTTAAACCATAATAACTTTGAATTAAATAACTTAATAATGATTTTAAATAATGACTATTGAAATATATCATTATGTATGATAACAGTTCGTTCTAATCTTTAACTTTTTACCATCATTTCTGTTTCCATTCCATGATTTATATAAAAAAATGTATTCAAACAGTTGAATCAGAAAACTACTCTTAAGCTCATCCGGTTTTGAAGTTACCTTAGTACAGGAAATTTTTGTTGCATATTTTAATTAATGTCCCCAAAAAAGGACCTTGATTATATGTATCTAGTATTATGAGGTTAGTTTTATGAGGCAGGGCTCATATCATATATCATTATAAAACCTTAATTTAATGTACTTACATTTCTGGCGCTGTAATCATAAATGCCACCATTAATGATGTTATACTGTACGTCATGTAGTAAGGTATACCCACGAGAGGTAGGGTGGCATTTGTTTCACTATTAGCACTATAAATATGAACTTGAAATCAACTAAATTACAGCTGACATGCCCGGTAGTCACTGCAATATCTGAAAGGGAAACTTATAATATATCAAAATATATTATGTAGTACTGTACTCGTAGTATATACTAGTATATTAAAGTATAAGTAGAATTATTATGCAAAGTATAATTATTATGCAAATTTTTCCTCCTTTTAACGTAAAAGGATATTTGAAACCTCTGTGGCAGAGTACTGCTGGGTTTGTTATAAAAGAGGCTGTGTCATAAGATAACAATTCACAAACTATAACAATATAATTATCATAGCGTACAATGTACTTCTGTGCCCATTTTATTGTGATAGTCACTCGAATCACCAAGCAATAAAGGAAACAGATAGCTAATCATGCAAGGAGCATGATAGAGCTGTACCAAATATTTTCTAATACCCGCCTCTTCTACCGGTATTTTAACAACGCTTAACTTAAGACACACATACACTGGCACGTACACACATATTATACACGATGTGTAATATGATTAAATTATTTCACAGCTCTAGGTATATACACGTGTTGTGCTATACTTTATTTATCTTCTCTTCAATGTTTATCTATCTCTCCAACTATTAAGTATTACATTAAAATATCCTATTTGTAAACTCTCAAAACCAGCACAGTGCAGTGCAACATGGGTAAACATTGTACAAGTCGTGAAGTAATCAGATTAACCGAAACAGACGTGAACTTGTTTTTATTAAGGAACTGTTTTTGGTAAACACTGTTTTCAGAAAACACTGTTTATTTGATCGTGTTACTTTTTGCTTGATATTTTGTTGATGGTCTACATCTGAAAAGGGGCTCAAGCTGTAAGATTCTCGTTGGTGTTGTGAACAAGTTTCCAGAAATCTGCTTCTCTTCTTCTTCTGGTTTCGGGAAGATACCCAATGATACGAATCAAATCTTGTGCGCAGGTTACTTTCTTGTGTGTGAAGTTGTTACAGGCAATTGCAAAGTTGCAAACGGATACTAAATTTATCTGTTTAGTATTCACTTTAATATTGCTTTAATCAGTTATGTGAAAAATAAACGTTACGATAACAACATTTGTGTTACATTCTGTTGTTCTAATACAGGAGGATAATAAATACAAGATATTATGTTCAGAAACAGTTCGATAAACTGTCTTTGTAGGTCGCAAAACAATGTCATACTATTATATTATATCATAAGTAACTATAATATCACACCCCGTCATAGTACTGTAAAGCATAAAGTCATATGAGTTATTAATAATACTACTTCCGTTGTTCTTCTATCGTTAAAGTAGCACACGATAGCAAACCTAGCTACAGACCCATCACCCATGTGAGTAGTTAACTGCCGCAATTAATACACTCTATGGACAATGCTGTACGTAACTGACCCACGCCTATCCTGACGTCGACTCATAATCTTTTGCGCGTGATTCTGGACTGCTGCCAAACGGAACGCGCCGCCGCCTCCTCATATTTGCATTAAAAGTAGTTTACTTTTTGCGCGTCATATTATCGTGCAAATATATATAATATAATAAATATACATTGATTTATTGATCCGGCCGGCCTGTCGATCCACCGTGAACACTGTAGTAGAGGCTCTTACGGGCATTGTCTGCTCGATACGTTAGGGACCCCAGATACACCTTACTAGACGTATTTTTGACCGTAGAATCGATTGAAAGTGGTTTCAAGATGATTGGACTGATTGTTCTGGGGTAAAATCGAAAAAAAACGATTTTTGGGTCAAAAATAGGCCAAAAAACCATGTTTTTTGATATTTTGAGCAAGTTAATTTTGTTGGCATGTCGGCAAAACTTGCATAAAGATAGCTAAAAGACAGCCGCACAAGATTGTATAAAAATAAAACAAATCCCTCTATTTGTTCTGAGGTAAAAATCCAAAAAAGTGGTAAAAATTTTGACTTTTTTGCTTGAAGTTTGAATAATTTTTTGCAGTTGTATTAAATCAACCCGAAAATAGTCACATCGTGTTTGCCTAAATTTTTCCTTTCCGAGAAGTACCCACTTCATATACTTTATCGAAATTTGAATATTTTCACTCCGCAAGCGTTTTTGCCAAATTTTCGACGCGCACTACGCGCAAAAGCATTTAGTTGTTATCAATTGGCACCCGCGCGTTCATCATAAATTTCAAACAGCTATAACTCAGCGAGATTATGTCCGTTCTAGCTCATATTTTTACACTAAATAGTAAATAATGTGATCTTATTGCTGACAAAATATGAATATAATTACTCTATTTGCCTTAGAGTAATAGACTGTCAAAGTTTAAAACGCGCATTGGTATAGCACGTGACTAATAAGGCCAAATTTATACTTCTAAACATATTATCGATCCTTAGACATCATACTATTGTGTCCAATTAGCGGTTAGGTCTCTAAACTCGTAGCAGAAAACACGTCTTTTTGCCCGTAAGAGCCTCTACTACTGCCCATAATATATTTTTCAATTTTCTTGGAGTGGGCGATTGCTGCTATTTTAATCCGATTGAATTACTCTGGAATTTATCTGTTAGTGTTATCCAGTCCCTTTAATCCTATCTCGAGCGGTGCTAGTGTCCGTGACCTCTGGCATCTGTACTTGTACTGGGAGGATCTGTTCTCGGACCAGTGGCAGTGGCATATTATATATTATTATTAGGAGCTAATTACAACATGACATTACAAATCTATTACATTCATTGTTACCTGGGGACCGCAGGCTATAATGTTCATAAAAATAGCCGAACAGAGATTCGGCAAATAAAGATTCGGCGGAATGACAGGCTGAGCACCGCCCAGTTTGTATCACGTTGCGACCCCCACGGTCGTTTCACTATGGTGTATCGTCCTGACGATACAGGGGGAGCCGCGCACTTCGTGCGCGCGGCGGGTCATACAACGTATGACAACGCCCAGTATACAAAGGCCACCTAAATTAAAGATCGGGTTTAAAACGAGCGTGCTAGCTAAATCTACAGTCGATCTTCGAGATTGTTCTAATATATATAAAAGGGCCCCCGACGGTTGTAACCAACTTCAATCGATGTATTTTCCACCTACCCCGGAACACAAATCGCATACTGATACAGGGCCGAGTAAAGATTTTTGACTTGAATTACAGCTTTTCTGGGGTACGGTCGGTGCGGCCCTTGGATGTGGTTCCAAGAATTGGGTTCAAGGTGTTATTCAGTTATTCATATCATAGTGTCTATAAATATACGAGCAGTTTATTTTGACTTCTGAAGGGTTACCATCATAAATTCTACAAATATAAATATTTTAACGTACGTGCGGCGCACAAATCGCATACAAAATTGCATACACATGACCGCTCCTACTAAATCGCTAGCCCAAATTTTAAGAAAATTCTTGTGAAAAGGCCCTTTGGTTATGAAATTTATTTACATCGGTGTATTTTTGGACGCTGATTCCGAATCGCCCCCCATGACGTAGGGTTAAAATGCCTCCCTGGAGAGTTATGGGCAAAAAACCGTTTAAGTCACGTGACAGGCTAGTAAAATACGAATTCGATTGTTTATGGTTTAGGGCCTGGGTTAGGGTTAGGGTTGTGGTAAGGGTTATGGTTAGCTTCGGGGTTATGGTTAGGGTTAGGGTTGGGATTAGGGTTTATGTAAAACCGTTTTGTAAGGCTGCAAAACCAACCATAAAAACCAAAGTCACGTGAAATTTTTGGGCGAGCGAATTAGTAAGAGCCACACATGACACATTTAAGGGAAACGTCTTTTGCTTACTGGGCCGCGCTCAGCTCAGCCTGTCATTCCGCCTAATCTCTAATCTTTATGTTTATGAACATAATAGACTCTATACTAGCTTGAGGTTCCCAGGTAATCTTCTGCATGCTGCATTAATAAAGCATATATATCAATATGACAAATATTATTTTTAAGGTTTATAATCTACCGTACCAGGACGCGCGCGCCGAGTTGGACTCGTCGAGGGTTAATATTCGAAACAAATATTTTACGAGTATCATGATCACCCATTAAATATTATTGAGCTTATATTATTGTTTATATTTAATATAATGACAATAATGACATCACCGTTCCTATTAAAACTATATTGTTGAACTACTTTGTTGGGAGGAAAGACCGCGACCGTAATTTAATTGTCAAACTAGTACAGTAGTACGTACGAAACACAAAACTGCTCCAAAGTCACGTCCTATAATTGCATTTTGACTTAAAGGGTTAGAGCTGCTCTTGTAGCGCGATGCGTTACTGTGCCGCGC